TTGTCATTGTTAAACGATTTGTAAAAATTGAATCATGTACAAGTTTATTAAATCGTTTATTAACACCTATGAACGAGTAGAGTACTTCAGCATTGTCCAATTTTTTAAAAATAAGAAGAATCTCATGAGGTAAATCATTTAACTCCACCGACAAACCTTCCATATTTAACTTCACCTGTTGAGTTTTCTTTGTTTATATAGATTTATTCTATTTGACCTATTTCATCAATGAAAACAATGACAAATATTTCTATAATTGAAATTGACGACGAATAAACGGAAAAGAATGATATCACCTTTTTCTCTCTTTCTTATTAGTTCACATAGCGATGAACATCAATGCTGTCTGTTATAGATCTAATAAAATAAATAATATGCCATTCGTGTCGAATAGAAATAGTTTTTTAAAAGTTAAATATTATTTTGTAATTTAATTTCAATAAAATATTCTGAAAGATGATATTTGACATCTGTTTGTATCTTTTTCGTTTGATTCATTTGTGTGTAAAATAATTCTACGAAAAAAAAATATGGCAAAAATAAAATGAATAATTTTTATAGTAGAAATTATCATGAGATGAATTAAATATATGTATCCACTCACTTTAAGTCACAAATTTATTCATTTGATTATGAGATCAAAAGAAATAGAATAACTCTTTCTTCCCAAATAAAAAAAGTTTTTCATTTTTTGCACTTAAATCAATAAAGACGTTCTTGAGAGTGAAGACTCAAATGAAAATACAGAATATTTCCCTTACTGAAGATGTGAGCGAAAGTGATACATAGAAACACGTTTATAAAGTACATCATTTAATTTAGGATAAGTAGTTCCTAATATCTTGTAGCACATAATACTACCTTGCAATATCTGAGAGTTCCTTGTTCCAGCTGCTAGTACTTCTAAATGTCTCCTATAAAAGAAGGAATTTTGTCGGTAAATGTTAATGATTATTTCATAATCTGAATATTGAATATGAAAATACACATAAAGAAGAGACTTTGCCACTGATGCATCATACATCATTTAGGGATGATTTGCGAAGTTGGAGTGTATACAATTAAGGGAGGGGAACAACTTCAGATTCCCCTCTCTGAATTTTATTGCATTATAGTTTTCTTTCTGAAAATTTTCTTTCCAAACACTTAGCGGGTTTTAATCTTTTGGTCAGCTGAATGAATTATGTCAAATGAAGTCTAGAGACCTGCGGAATTTTCGAGGACAATTCAAAAACTCTTTGTCACAAAATTTTTGAATTTGTGTATCCGAAGTCGTTATAGGCTTAGAATTTCATATATTTAGCAAACGTTTTAATGCTTAAATAATTAGTGTAACAAAAAATGCAGCAAAGTATACTATGAGATTTCTTAAAAACCGTATATTTTTATTTTCTTCCTCAGTGATTAAACTTATATTGCAATTTAGACCCATGATCTCATTTAGTTAATGTGCTGTATTATAGGAATCAATGTATGAATGAAAATGAGAATGTATTGAAATTACAGTTATATCTCAAATTAATCTTTTTTTTCTCTTGTCTAAACTTGGGCTAAGGGAGAGCAGACAACTTTCCTTAAATGTTCGAAGTTCAGATATTTTGTTCGATAAATAGCAAACATTAAATTTCAGCTATATGTGAACATTTTTCTTGATTGATATGGTATAGGCAGTAAAACTTATCAGAACACAATTAATTCATCTCCTAATCACGGATGTGAATAAATTGTTTCTGTTGTCAGTATAGAAAAGTCGTATTGCTTTTAAACAAACTATATCTTTATATGTTTTCCAGCTTACGAGAGAAACGGGGCTTTTCTGAACTATTCAGAAAAATTTGGGACGGAGCATATGGGGTTCGGAAAACAGAAAAGTTTGTCCTGCAGGTCTCTAATGAAACGAGCTATATTCTCTCACACAAAAATGTACTTTCATTATCACAAGTAGCACGAGTCTATTCAATAGTTGAGACACGCCGACACCCCCTCAAGAAAAAATTGTTAAGATTCAAAGAAAAAATGAAGTTACAGTGCACTAGAACAAATTAAAACTAAACTATGAAATAAGCTCTCATCCACAACATTAGAAACGGCTGTGAAATTTACTATACTGAGACTAGATGTTAATGACAATGATACAGATGGTATTCTACATAATTTTTGTATGTATCTGGAAAGAGCAAAAGCTTGTAACGTCAAAATATATATATATACAACAATGATGATGATAGTGACAATGAAAAGTAGATAAAAACTTTAGACAATCTTTCGAAAGAGCAGTGTTTTTGTAATTATATAAACAACTGTGTGTAGCAAAAATAAACTTATTTCTCATTTATCTCAATTATCTGCGTCAATTTATGAAGACGCAAAATAGCAAAGAAAATATTATTCCAATTCAATTAATAACAAAACGTTTCAAAGTTGCAGCTGAAAGTACAATTATTTTGCTGCAAAAAAATATCTGATGCGAAAAGCCGTTTCTCTTTAGCTTTGTTAGACTTTCTAACTGAAACTTTCTCTTCACTCAGCAGAATCAAACGAAAACTATGCTTGCGCATTATCTATATATTTTCCGTCTTGTACACATCCTAGTCATTTCTTTTCTTCTTATTGCACAATTGGAAAAGAAGATATCTAACGTCGTCTTCTCTGTTAATTGTTTGACCTGAATTCAAGTGAGAGAATGTACTGAAATTATCCTCTTTATTTTTGTTTTCTCTCTATCTTTGTGTGGACATCAATCATGTGTAACCAAGAAACCTTATTTGTTCTAAATCAATCAATTATTTCCGACAAGGCATCAAATTCTTTTCGAACAGGGATATTGCTCTAGAAAGAGATCTTTACAGTATAGTTATTCAGAAACAATTAATTTCATTAAACAGGCATTAAAAAAACTGAAAAAAAAAGACATCTAAAAAATGCTTTTTGCCTTGAAAGACTTCAAGTTCATATTTGTAGCATTGAAAGTAACGATATTTGCTTGATAAAAATAAGAATAATTTTAGGTCAGTCATGAAATGTAGTCGATGGAGAATAGTGTCTATAGTGTAATTACAAATATATTGTACATTTTGAATTCAAATCATATCTGTCATATACTCTTGTGAACTCTCATATACATATCTATAATCTGTATCATTTATTGTTGTTATGTCTGTCCGATTATTTAATAGAACTAATGATTTGAATTCAATATATTACTATTGTAATACACTAGAACCTCTTCTACTAAACATCTCCTAGTTATGAAAACTCAAGTTCTCCGAAGCAGTTTTTGCTTGAAATGCTTCTCTCTAATGTAAACACCTCGTCATTTTGAACAGTAAACAGGTTCTTGCAGTCCCTCGTATTATAGCCTTTCTAATGTGAAAACATGCACAATGTCTTTTTGACCTTCTTCTATTTTTTATCACTTGTTTCTTATATTTACTATGAATACATTATAACGGGTGCGTCAGGATGAATGACCGCATTTTGCATTTCAATTTTCATTCACTTAATATGCTGTATTAAAACAACAAAATATACTACAAGATGCAACATGAAAATCTCTACAATTTACACAAGACCGCTTTTCTTATAGTTGCACTTTTTGCTTTCAAAATGGTCAAAATTTTGAGCGACCAAATTTCGATGCCGCGAAAAAGTCATTTTTCAGTGCACGATCAATACTTTTTTATTCTTATTTATTACCTAAAATCTTCTACTTAAAGAAAAAACAAAATGCACCACAAGATGGAGCGTGAAAAGCTTCACAATCTACAAAGAATAGTTTATTTTATATATGCACCTTTTGTTTACAAAATGGACAAAATTCGCTGGGACCAATTTTCGACGCTGCGAGCAAGATCATTTATTGGTACACGACGAATTTCTCTTTTTATTTCATCAGTTAATGAATCATATCGAAGGCCATAATCAATGATCAGTCTTAGACCAATCGAGATGTTTCGATGATAATTTTTTCCCCACTTTTTCCGATATTATTGATAGCGGCACATACAAGTTACATAATAACAAATTACGACTGTATAAGTGCCTACATTCAATAAAAAGAAATGAAATCTGAAGATCTTCGAAAAGTTGTTATGTGAATGATTGATGATGGTATGACATCAGTGGACATTGCCAAAGAAGTGCCCACGTGGTTAGCCAACGTACGGTTAGAAGATGGCAAAATATATATAAAGAAACAAGTGAAATTGATTTGAAAAAATCTTTGGGAGGACCAAGAATTGTAAGAACAAAAGGTCTTGTACGAAAGGTGAAAGGACGACTGATGTATCAAGGTCGGCGAAGTGCAAGACGATTAGTTCAAATATTCGGTGTTTCTGGTAGTACCATGCGTCGAATAATAAAGGACGATCTTAATTTACATACTTATCGTATTAAAACCCAACCAAAATTAAGCGACGATCACAAAAAAAGAAGAACGTCGTTTGCATATTGGGTGCGAAAATCATTAAGAAAAGAAGATCATGGTAAGATTTTATTTACCAATGGAAAACACTTTTCATTAGAAGGTGTATTTAATCGTCAAAATGAATGTGTTTACGCCGTTAGTCGAGAGGAGGCAGATAAGCAAGGAGGCATAAAACAACAAGCTAAATATCCAAAAATAATCATGGTGTGGTTAGGTGCCTCAAAAAATGGTCTTACGTCTCCGATCATTTTTACACCTGGTGAAACATTATCACACAAGAATTATTTTGAAGTCATTCTTCCACATGCACAATCTGAAGGTAGCCGGCTATTGGATGATGATTTTATCTTCCAACAAGACAACGCCACACCACACATTCATGATAAATCGTTGGCATGGTGTGAAGAAAATTTCGCACAATTTATTAGCAATCGTACATGGCCATCAAGTAGTCCTGATCTTAATGTTCTGGATTATTACGTACGGGATGCTATCACCAATAATATGCGGTGGGCAAGATTAAAAATTATGATTCATTAATTGATGAAATTAAAAAAGCAATTCGTCGTGTACCAATAAATGATCTTGTTCGCAGCGTCGAAAATTGGTCCCAGCGAATTTTGTCCATTTTGTAAACAAAAGGTGCATATATAAAATAAACTATTCTTTGTAGATTATGAATCTTTTTCACGCTCCATCTTGTGGTGCATTTTGTTTTTTTAATACAGCATATTAAGTGAATGAAAATTGAAATGCAAAATGTGGCCATTCATCCTGGCGCACCCGTTAATATAATCAATAGTAAATGAGATATAATCGTTGTTGATTAAATTTTGAATCGAAATTTGGATGATATACTAATTAACTTTGTATTTATATTGGTTGTGTTATTGATATTAGCGTTATTGAAAAGACAGCCAAACAGATAAAACAACATATCAGATAAAATAAACGATTAGAATGAAAGAAGACTGCAGAAAGAAAAAGATAAAGAAACAAAAAATGGCTCCAAAAACACACTCATTCGCTGTTGCTAATTAACAGCAAATAAGATAAAATAATCAGGAACAATAGAATGCACTGAACAAGGGTTGTTTTTTATTATTGTCAGTTAAATAAAAATAAAGAAATAAAGATATCATTTAGCAATTAAACCGATATTTTCCAATAACTGTTTGACTGCTCTGTTAGTTATGCGTTTTGATCGACTAAAAGTGATCATTTATTGATATTGCAGGGGAGTACATGAACAGAAAAATCCTTTCGAAATAATCTCAACTTGGACGAATGATAAAAATGAATCAGAAGAAAATAGTATGTACGTCAATAAATACTTGGTTTAAATTTAAATATATTCCTGATACCATTTAATATCCTTCTAAATGATACGAATAAAATACGTACTGTGCATAGAAAGTGTTTTAAAGTTCTTATTAGATATGCAATCATATTTGTCATTAAGAGTAGGTTTTAAAAAATGTGTCAATAACCTCTAAAACAGATTCAATGCAAACAGCAATATCAATCATAACATGTGCCTTGGGGTATTGTTGACAAGTGCTTTTTTTGTTCTAAGGGAAGAAGGAACTTAATCATATTGATTAAAATAATGAATAATTGAACAAAGTAAGTGCAAACGTTAAAAAAAGAATGCTTTTATATCTTTTTTGTTATCGATGACTTCTATCAAAATGGTTGTTTGCACTTGATTGACCTATTGATGCTTGTATCTTTTTGGTACAAAAATAGATCAAATTTATTTAATTAGATCATTTAATATGAAGTTACAATTGTTCATCTGTCCTGTATTATGTAAAATCATGTTTTATTTAACGCTTATGACTTGGTAAACTGAAGTTTGAGATTAGCAAAATAAAAAAGTAAAGTAGGAAAAATTTTTTTTTAAATAGTGCTACTTATACAAATCTTGATTTTAGCGAAGTAATCATCATGCTTCAGACAGTGGCAAACGATACAGGTAAAATTTTTATCATTAGTAATAAAGCTTTGATTTTATGTGATTTTCTTTTAAATATATTCTTTAATATAAATTAGCTCCATTTCATATCGGATCCAATTAAACATCTAATAATTATGATTGGTAATAGAAAAGCGTTTTGAATAAGATTTGTTTTTCTACCAAAATTCAATGTATATATCTATTACTTTTTCTTTTTTTAGTTTCAGTCTCGGCTAATAAACATATTTCTTATATTAATTCTACACATAGTAAACGCCAGTTGCTGTTCAATGGAGGCAGATATTGTATTAAACAGAAAAATTGAAAATCAATTTTATGGAGATGTACCAAAGCGAATTGTCCTGCAAGTATTACAATTTCTAGCAATGATTTTACCTTAAGAATAAATGAAATACACACACATTTTATCGACTCAAATGCTACTAAAATTTTGGAACTACGACAAAAATTAAAAAAAGAAGTACAAACAACTTCAGCACCAGTTGATAAAATCGTTGAAATTGCTTATTCCACTATGATTACTGAAGAAAAAATAAATGACTCAATTCCAAAGTTGCTATCTATTAAAACATTAAAAAATACCGTTGGTAAACAACGTCACACGGATAGACCTTCATTACCAAAATATATTGAAGATTTAACTTTTCCACTTCCAACATTATATACATTAACTAAAGATAATGAAAGTTTTCTTTTATTTGATGGTCAACTAGAAGGAAAAAGAGGTCTAATATTTGCATCTCAAACTGACATTCAATTTTTAGAAAAACAACATTTTTGATATGGAGATGGAACATTCTATACATCTCCATCAATTTTCTATCAAATTTATAGCATCCATACTTTTGATGAAGGACTTTCAAGTCCATGTGTGTTTGCACTTCTTGTAGATAAAAGGGAAGAGACATATCATAATTTTTTCCCAGTATTAATAAAGAAAATTATGGAAACTTGCGATGTCATTCGACTTAAATCAATTATTTTTGATTTTGAACTAGCTGTTAAAAATGTGTTTTATAAATGTTGTCCTCATGTTGAAGTAAGACAACAAAAAAGGCTGCTTTTTTATGAAATTTTGCACAGATTAAATTTTATTTTTAAATATTTTGAACTTTAAAAAGATTTTATTCTCAAGCTAAATAAAAAAAAGACTAGTCATAAACTTAATATTTGCACACACTTATGAATTTATAATATTGTAACAATTTTTTTCATTTATACAGGTGAAAGGTTGCCTCGTTCGCTATGGACAGGCACTCTTCAGAAAATTCGTTGACTTAAATCTTAGAACAGCCTTTCAACAAGATGAAACTGTACGTGTTTGGTTCAGAAGTTTTGCTGCAATAGCACTTCTACTACAAAAAGATATGATTGAAGCAACTGAATATTTACGTTTAAATAAGCCGTTTTTATATGAAAAGGAAATTGAATTATTTATTGGATATCATGATAAAACTTATGGTGTAAACAGGAATTTTCCACCAATTATGTACAATCACTACTGAAATATCAATCCTCGCACAATTAATTATCTCGAAGGGGCGTCATAATAGATGGAAAAAAAGATCTTCAAAACCTCATAATGATGTTTACACATGTATTAATATGTTTAAACATGAACAACTGTTAGCAGCAGATGAACGTAGAAGAAATGAAACAGGTACAGCATCACTAAAACGTCGAAGAGCTACTCGTATTGCTGAAGAAACATTATGTCGTTTATGGCATAAACTCGAGAATCAAAAGATTGATAGAGTAACATTTTAAAAAGGCGCTGGTCTTCGTTACTTTCAATATTTAAAAATTGAATAAAACATAAAATTAATCATTTATTTCATAATTTTCTTTTTATTTGGTTTATTTTTCTAGATCGCGTTATTTATTGTTTTCTTTCTAAATTCTAAAAAAAATGTCGTGCGTAAGGTCAAAACTTTTTAACGTATATAAAGTAATCTATATTCTTAAAAAACCGAAAACTGTTGATCCTTGGTTTGTTATAAAATGGTATTTTTCCAATGAAAATTTTATTTCTTCTCTTTTGAATAAAAATAATTATTTCAATCAATAATTGCTTATTATTTTTTCAAATTTTGTATATAGACGAAGTGCGCCTAATTTTTTTATTACGACAGTAAATCCTGCATACGACTATCGACTATACTTTAGTGCTGTCTACAAAGTACAGGTTATTTTATTGAAATAATTAAATCCAATATTTAGCGAACTCTCTAAATTACAGATAGTTATTAGTAATACTGAAGATATCAGTGTTACATCCTGCCATCTATTTATGTAGTTATAGCTCTTTCGTGTTTGTGATTGTCTCTCTCTCTCCCTTGTTATTCTTTTGTTATATATATTAGTGAAAGAGAAATAAAACAGTAGTTATGCTTTAACAAAACGAACTCGAACGTCTTTTATTCTCTATATAAAATAAAGCATAACAAGTGGTGACAGCGGTTTGGAAGAAGTTAAACATTTTCTTCTTTTAACAAACGACGATTATAATTACTTAAAGAAGGAATCCTTCTTAATTAGGAGTTGATTCTGTCCTACACATTCAGCGACGAAACTTAATTTCCAATTATGACTGACGATGAGTCACCTTCAAATTTAAATNAAAGACCGAAAAAAAATGATTGCACTGTTGTACATTGAAATGATTAAAAATGTTGATACAATGTACATATGTGTAAAACTATCAACCAAAAAAAAAGAAAGAAGCAATGACTTGCATGATACTACCTAACAAACGATAAGAAGCCTTTATAACCAGTTAAAAAACATATATTACTGCAGTCTTTATTCAATAAATATATTTGCACACATATATGTGTCGACGGGAGCGAGAGGGTTAATAAATAAACTAATACCCGTTTGAAAATAAAAAAAGGATGGCCATTTTTTGAATAACTTGTGATAGGTCGATCGTGGAGAAGTGAAATTTTTAGAGTAGATTGAGCAAGTCAAGGGCTACAAAACGACACCCTCCTGAGATTTGTTGTGTGATGTTTTCGAAGCTTGGGTATATCGACTTTCTTGCGAACATACAATAACCCGAATTTTCGATATCCATCTTTAAAGAAACGCGATCGATCCAAGTAGACCTATTTTTGCAGAAAATTGATGATATGACTTGCACAATTTCACTTCGCAGTAAGTTTTCGCACAGGTTTTCGACTACGGCGAGTCGAATGGCAGTTTTTTCGATCAAAGTTGATCGATCCATGTCCAAAAGTCGCCTAATTGAACTCTGTCTGTCATGTAAAACTGGTGGTTTTATGATGTTTTCTCCCTTATTTTGGCCTATGTTGTCTCATTAGTGTTTGCATCTGAATTATGGGAAAGAGGTATAGAAAAGCGAGAAGAAAAAGGCAGTTTAATGAAGACAAAGATGTTCTTCAACGATTTCTCATTGCATGATTCTAATCCATTCAAACTCAGTTCTATCTCGAATGATTCATCGGAATCATTTTCATCGAACTGCTCGACTAAATTATACGAAAATTATGCCTAGTGGTTCTGAATACTCTCAAAGGGAAAAGCAATTGATATTCAACGTGATCAGCTTCGTAGAGAGCGAGAAACACAGCTATATCGTTCCTCTTTACAATGTCAACGAACGTCTCAAAACAATGCTGGGAATTTCAATGAGCTCGGTCGAAAAGTTGAAGAGAGAATTTCGTGAAGAAAAAGAACGTCTTGATGAAGAGAGACGAAAGGTTGAAAATGAAGAAGAGATGAAGAAAAAGAAGGAGGGGGAACTGGTTCTTCGTCTTCGTCATCGAAGCTCCAGCCGAGCTGAAAGACGGTTTAGTCCAATCGCTCGTTCGGTGGAACAAAATATATCTACAGCACGAGAACCATTAAAAGCAGCTCAATCAGGACGCTCAGCAATTGTGCTTTCTGAACAACAACAAGCGCACATTCGGTGAGTGAAAATAGTGTGAATGCTTTTTTTAATAACTGATTGAGTATTGTACATTTGGCGTTCATCAAGTTTTAGCTAACCGGATTTATCCGACGACTAGCATAGTGCTCGATTATTTACTGGCTGAAGACGCTGATTTTCCAGTTCGTTCCAAGACTACATTATGGCGACGGATGAGAAAGTTAGGTTTCGTCTATAAACGAACATCAAAAGTTATCGTGCCTCTCGACTCGCCATCTTTTATGGCCACGCGTGCACGTTACTTTACAGTCCTTGATCAATTAAGGAGCAATGGTAGCAAAATTTTCTGGCATGATGAAACCTGGTGTAATAAGAATGAAGAGAAGACTTTCATTTGGACTGATGGAACAACTGGAAAAGGTAGATTACGTCAAACAGATGAAAAAGGTAAATTCAGTGCTGTAAAAACCTACTCTCATTTTTTCGTGATAGGAAAAAGAATAGTGATCTCGACTTTACTTTCGGATACCGGTTTCCTTCTTCCTACAGTAGATATCTTCGAATGTGATGAAAATCATAGCATGGACTCCAATCACTTTATCAGATGGGTCCATCAAACATCCGCTATCTTACGTAAAGAACTTGGTAAAAGAAGTCGTATATTTCGCTTCGTTAATCAAAGTGCTTCTCTCTAGGAAAAGAGGTTTCAGTGTGGTTAATACTTGACAATGCTACATGGCACAATCGATTAACAGAAGAGACCATGCCACCAAAGCGATCATGGAGAAAACAACTAATCATCGACTGGCTACATCGACATGATCTTCTGTTTTCTGAAAACATGACGAAAGCTGAACTCCTCGAACTTGCCTTTGATAATTTACCACCAAAGCGTTATGTGGTAGACGAGGTGGCAGCGAGACATAATGTGCAAATACTACGGTAAATGAATAATCTACGAAACATTTAACACGATGTATACTCGTTTTAAGGTTACCATTGAAACATTGTATGCTCAATCCCATCGAGCTAGCTTGGTCTGGTCTAAAGAACTTTGTACGAAAAAACAATACCGATTTTCGTCTCAGCGAAGTTCGGACTTTGGCTTCGCAATGGATTCGTTCATTGACTGCTGACAGCGCTACTGCTTACATCGATCACGTCCTCAAGATTGAAGCGACTTTCAAGAAATCTGATCGGTTTATCGAGCAGATAGAGGAAGATCTGGTAGATGAAGAAGAAGATGTCGATTCTGAAGAAGAAGTTTTGGATTAAATTTAGGTGTCTTTCTCTCATTAAACGAAATTGGATTGATATTTGAATATTTTGGCTTAATTGGAACATGATTCGACGGACGACATAGGCCAAAATAAGGGAGAAAACATCATAAAACCACCTGTTTTATATGACAGACAGAGTTCAATTAGGCGACTTTTGGACATGGATCGATCAACTTTGATCGAAAACACTGCCATTCGACTCGCCGTAGTCGAAAACCTGTGCGAAAACTTACTGCGAAGTGAAATTGTGCAAGTCATATCATCAATTTTCTGCAAAAATAGGTCTACTTGGGATCGATCGCGTTTCTTTAAAGATGGATATCGAAAATTCGGGTTAGTGTGATTCTTGTAGACCTTCAGTAGTCGAATCTAACCCATAAAAAAAATATGATCCGAAAGCATTATAAGTCCATACTTGGATGTTCGCAAGAAAGTCGATATACCCAAGCTTCGAAAACATCAAACAAAAAATCTCGGGAGGGTGTCGTTTTGTAGCCCTTGACTTGCTCTATCTACTCTAAAAATTTCACTTCTCCACCATCGATCTATCAAAAATTATTGAAAAAATGGCCACCCTTTTTTTATTTTGAAACGGGTATTAGTGTGTACCAGTATCAAGGGCTTCAGTTATTCGAACCCTCATTACTGGTACACACTAGTACCGGTGATGCTAGTAAATCAGAAATACTGGTACCAGTGAAACCAGTAATACTGGTACCGATGCATCCCAATTTTTTTTGTAAAGTCGATAGAAAATCAATAAATGATTATTAAAAACGATTTTTAATAAACCTAAAGTAGTACAAAGCACTGAACACCGATGGGATATAAACTCAATAAAAAACGCTGGATAACCACGAAAAACCGATGGTAATCGGTAAATACCGCCGGTTAACTGCCAGTAAATTCTTCAGTTATACGTTCGGTATACCGGCGGTTTTTGAGTGGTTCAGAGCACATGGGTATACTTTTTTAGATAAGATACAGTAAATGTCACAAAACGTCCTATATGATCTTGTTAATATAATAAAACATGTCATAAATATTATTGATAAAAGCTTTTTCTTTGATACTCGATACTTCAATCGAAATTTTTAAAACAACTGCATTGTTCTCTTTCGCCTTCCCTTTCTTACTAATATTTCTTCCAACATCTCTATTTGTTACAACTTTTCAATGATAACGATGCAGTAATCATTATCGATTAGTTAGTCCGACTATTGCATTTGTGGCTGATGAACTGAAGAAGTAGGCATTCAATAGCTGTAAAACATAATTAATTGACTGAATCAGAATATTCTTTCTCCCATAATAAAAGATCCGGAGTCTCCTAATATATTGTAGCGCACAAACTTTTCGGAAAATCTTCTATTATGATACAAATTTTCCAATGAGTTTCAATTAACAAATTTTCTGGAAAACCTTCTCGATTTACGAGGCTTCTCCTGCGTTTTTCCCTCACCCTCACCCTTACGCTCAAGCAGTGATTTGAACCGAAAGCTATATCGACGAAACAATGATTTATCAAAGCAGTAAGGGATCTTATGTTGACACCAATTAGAATTACAATTCACATCTACATCAAATATTTGCTTCAGGGCATACATCCATTAGATCAATGACATAATAATGAAAAAAACAAAGAATTGCTTCGTTTTTCGCTATATAACTAAGGCAAAAATATTTTTACTAGATTAATCAAAGTCATATAGACAGAATGAATACTCAAAAAAGTAGCTTAGATTACAGCATCATAAATGCGAACGAAGACTTTCGCCTAAATTGTAGATATAAATTATAATAGAGTATAATTTTATCCGTATCAATTGAAATAATATTTTACATTACTCGAATAAACTTAAATAACATAATTAATCAATATATATATAGTTCTGATTGTCACTATTGCATTGACTGAGAGTGATGCCACAAAAAATAAATTAAAGATATTCCTTTCTAAAATTAAACATCTCCAATATCGAGATATAATCTTCCATTCCAAACAAAATTTGAATCATAATTCAACTTGAACCATATTTCACTCTCAAGTGCATAAACATTTTTTAACATCCATTGTTTAGATGCTCGCTAATGATTGGTTGCAATTAACACAATGCACGTCAAGCAAGATTGTCTATATATGAGTACGAATAATTTTTTTAAATTTCTTCTCTTTCATTGTGCAGTGCGAACACATTTATTCTGAATTCAAACAGCAATACTGTCAGAAAACATTGAACTGCTTATCTCATTCCCAACTGTGTATATATTGAATAATATTAGTTTTATTTTGTATTCTTTTTTTCAAAGAAAATATGATCGAATTACTTGATCTACCCAATGAATTAATCTTAGCTATTATGAATAAAGTTAAACCTCGAGTATTATTGCTTTGTTCTATTATTGGCATTGGAAATAATCGTTTAGAACAACTTGCAATAGACAAATGTCATTCAATTGATTTAACTTTGGATTATCCTCAATCACCTCACGAACAATTAATGAAACGATTTTATTCACATGTTTTGCCTTATATTTATAAGAATATTCAATCACTGGCATTGACCCTTCATCATCTATCGGATATTTCTACCTTTGCTGAAGAATATTGTGATGGAACATTTTCAAATTTGACACATTTAAAAATCATACTTCCAAGACAAAGTCGTATAACTGACACAAATTTTACATTAGGTAAACTAAATTACTCGTTTTGCTTTTCTAATCTACATTCGAATGTTACTTCTTACTTATATTTTGCATAGATAAAAATGGGGAAATAATAATTCGAGGCTTTTAAAAATCTTATTTTAAACTGAAATAATTATTCATGAGAAATAAACATTAGTATATGATTGTGTTAGAATTTTATTCCACAAAAAGTAGATTAAAGAATGAAGAAAGTTACAAAAGTTTTTTTAGCATTGCTTTTTACTTCCGAAATTCTTATGCAAAAATTATAGAAGGTGTCCCAAAAGTTTTTTCGTATATCTTTACTACTTGATTTAACTGTGTCAACAATGTTTTTTTTAAATGATAGGTGGATATATCGAACTTTTATTTCTACGAATGAAGTTGAGAAGTACTCCTGAAAGCTAAGATCTGAATTAATCGATAACTCGAAACAATTAAAAAAGAAATCTTGACAAATTGTTTTCTGGAAAGAGAAAACAGGCTAAATTTTTGTACCTCAGTTAAAGATGATAGCTTTGTGAAATACTTGTCAACTTCGTTCGTGAAAATAAAAGCTTGATGTATCTAACTATCATTGTAAAAAATTTGTTGATAGAATTAAATAAAATAGTAAAGATGTGCGAAAAACTTTTAGGAAGAGACTTTTGGGACACTGTCGTTGTAAAAGAAATTAAAGAGGACTATTTTTAGTTAATAGTCAATTATAAAAATTATAATAAAACTGATAATCATATACTTTTAGGTAGCAACATGATTAGTTCAATGCACAGCCGATGTCTCTTCTCAGTATTACCTCAACTTTATTCTATTGAGATGATGGAACCTAGTCTAACAGTATCTGCTTTTCGGTGTTCACGATTTATGCGTTCTATTATTTCGTTCGAATTTGATGAATATTGTATTCTACCAACATTAGTTAATAATGATGATTTGTTCTTTCCTCAATCATCTCGTCTTACTCACATTCGTATCACATTACTTTTTCTCGATAATTGTATTGATTTACTCAATCAGTTAGGTGCACAGCTCCATTCATTTGCTATGAGCCTTGTGCAGCCCGGTCTACGGCGGGACAGCAATGCAATATCACGAATAGCATCGGTAAATATTTGTTTTCAATTTAATATTTCAATAAATTGATTAAATTTAGATATCTTCTCCTTATCTGAAAGAATTAACAATAACAAGTTATCGTAATATTCCTCAATATGAAAGATATATTGTTCCTCTTTTACAACGTTTGTCAACTATCAAATATTTGACATTATTATTAGCTATTGGCGTAGAGAGATTTCAACCACATCACTTTATTGATGGATACAATTTACAAAGAGATATTATTTCTCATATGCCTCATTTACGTCAATTTTATTTTCATATTCGTTCAATCGTTGTATCCGTTCCTCATATAGATATCGATACAATTCGTCAAAGTTTTTTTCACCAAGAACAATCTGTTGATTGTGTACTTGATTATTTCAATAATGAATGTGGTCAATGTCAAATTTTTTCACTTCCATTTATTGGTACTCGTCTTGATTTTATCTCAAATCGATTTCCACTTTTCGACGAAAATAAAAATACTTTTTCAAATGTTACAACAATATTACTCTTCGATGATGTCAAACCTTTTGAGCATAATTTTTTTGTACTTGTTTCTCAAGCTTTACCTCATCTTAAATCACTTGAAGTATTTAATCGACTTGAACAACAAGAGAAAACAATAACAAGGGTGTGGGTGTGGAGGTGGGTGTGGGTGTTGATATTCACTTAACCACTTACCTACAGACACCCACACCCACACCCCAACCAAATTTTGATGCCGCGAAAAAGTCGTTTTTCAATGCACGATCAATGCTTTTTTATTCTTATTTATCACCTAAAATCTTCTATTAAAAAAAAAAACAAAATGCACTACAAGATGGAGCGTGAAAAGCTCCACAATCTACAAAGAATAGTTTATTTTATATAAGCACCTTTTGTTTTCAAAATGGACAAAATTCGCTGGGACCAATTTTCGACGCTGCGAGCAAGATCATTGGTACACAACGAATTCCTCTTTGTATTTCATCAGTTAATGAATCATATCGAAGGCCATAATCAATGGTCAGTGTTAGACCAATCGAGATGTTTCGATGATAATTTTTTCCCCACTTTTTCCGATATTATTGATATCGGCACATACAAGTTACATAATAACAAATTACGACTGTATAAGTGCCTACATTCAATAAAAAGAAATGAAATCTGAAGATCTTCGAAAAGTTGTTATGCGAATGATTGATGATGGTATGACATCGGTGCAAATTGCCAAAGAATTGCGTGACGTGGTTAGGCAACGTACGGTTAGAAGATGGCAAAATATATACAAAGAAACAGGTGAAATTGATTTGAAAAAATCTTCCGGAGGGCCTAGAATTGTAAGAACAAAAGGTCTTATACGAAAGGTGAAACAACGACTGATGTATAAAAGTCGGCGAAGTGCAAGACGATTAGCTAAAATATTCGGTGTTTCTGGTAGTACCATGAGTCGAATAATAAAGGACGATCTTAATTTACGTACTTATCGTAGTAACACCTAACCAAAATTAAGCGACTATCACAAAAAAAGAAGAATGTCGTTTGCATATTGGGTGCGAAAGTCATTAAGAAACGAAGATCATGGTAAGATTTTATTTACCGATGAAAAATACTTTTCATTAGAAGGTGTATTTAATCGTCAAAATGAATGTGTTTACGCCGTTAGTCGAGAGGAGGCAGATAAGCAAGGAGGCATAAAACACCAAGCTAAATATCCAAAAAGAATCATGGTGTGGTTAGGTGCCTCAAAAAATGGTCTTACGTCTCCAATCATTTTTACACCTGGTGAAACATTATCACACAAGAATTATATTGAAGTCGTTCTTCCGCATGCACAATCTGAAGGTAGCCGGCTATTGGATGATGATTTTATCTTCCAACAAGACAACGCCACACCACACATTCATAATGAATCGTTGGCATGGTGTGAAGAAAATTTCGCACAATTTATTAACAATCGTAGATGGCCACCACATAGTCCCGATCTTAATGTTCTGGATTATTACGTATGGGACGCTATCACCAATAATATGCAATGGAGCAAGATTAAAAATTATGATTCATTAATTGATGAAATTGAAAAAGCAATTCGTCGTGTACCAATAAATGATCTTGCTCGCAGCGTCGAAAATTGGTCCCAGCGAATTTTGTCCATTTTCAAAAACAAAAGGTGCTTATATAAAATAAACTATTCTTTGTAGATTGTGGAGCTTTTCACGCTCCATCTTATGGTGCATTTTGTTTTTTTTTTAAATAGAAGATTTTAGGTGATAAATGAGAATAAAAAAGCATTGATTGTGCATTGAAAAACGACTTTTTCGCGGCATTAAAATTTGGTTGCTCAAAATTTTGACCATTTTGAAAGCAAAAAGTGCAACTATAAGAAAAGCGGTATTGTGTAAATTGTAGAGCTTTTCACGCTGCATCTTGTGGTGTATTTTGTTTTTTGAATACAGCATATTAAGTGAATGAAAATGGAAATGCAAAATGCGGCCATTCATCCTAGCGCACCCGTTAATTGGGAATGGAAAAAACCTCGCTATTTGGAATCTATGTGAAGCTACCACAACACGATCACTTACCACGACGAGTGAAAAATTACCACTCGTCAAAATGTAAACCAATCAGAAGTCGACAAATGAAAAAACACCACCATGAAGGACAAACTCATGAACATGGTACTCCATAGTAACACTGATGTTTATATCACTGTTACTAAATCGCGGTGGATGCTGTTGAGTGACCCAGAACAAATGGGCTAGTTCTTATAAAAAATTATTTTATGTATAATCTTAACAATTTTTTTGTCTTGATAAGGAAAGGCTGTGGTAAAACTTTCTGCAAAACAGTTCAATGCTATTTTTTAGAAAAATTGAAAATATAAAGATGCACTACAAAATATGAAAGAGCAAAGCCATCAACTTTCTAAACCACATTGTAGCATGCTTAACATATGTGCAAATCAGATGTCTGATGTTATCGAATTCGTTCTGTCCTCTAGCATCTCACAAAATTCGTCCAAGCATAGTGTTACAAAAGAAATCCTAATTTCTTTATGAACTCAACTGAATGGAATGTGCAGTTTCACCCCTGCATTCAGCCGATTAAAAGCAAAGACGCTATTGAGTATGATAAGGCTATTGAATGTCTTCTGATTATATACAACCAGCATCCTATATCTCTGCAAGTAAACACAGTCGAGTTCAAAATATGCTGCTTTTGCAGAGCTATAAGGATTTTTTTATCGTTATTCAAACATTCGCTTGAAAAATGGTGGTTTCAGTGGCAAGCGTAAAAGAAATAATTTACTTTCTGCTAATTCTAAAGTAAGTTCTTATTGACATTTTGAGGAAGACAGATATTTGACTACTACAAAGTAACTACTTACATCTTTATATCGTAGCATGCAAAAAATTGAAATTGAAAAAAATTAACATTTGTTTCGAAAACTGCCCACGTTGTTGTCTTTTAGAGTTTTTCCAGCTGTCAACTTAATGTTTGGAATAAGAGAGTTACAACGATTTTATCTAACACTTTGCAGCGAATTTTTACAAGAAAATAAATTACTGAGATTACATCTAAAGAGTTCTATATAAAAGTTTACTCATCTTTTCTGGAGCACATGAAATCGCCCTGTTTGGTAACTTTTTCGTAATCGATAACTCTCAAGGACAAATGTTCATCTTGTGTTTTACATGAATGTGTAAAAAAAATAGAAATGAGCTTCAGGTTAGTCAAATCTATTTCTTAATTCCTGAACTTACAACAGAACTGGATGCGTATACTTTCAGGCATATAAGATGCGCCAGTTAATTCAAGACCATTCTGGGTCTCTCTGATGCACTGTAGCGGCAACTAGCATTGACCCGTTTATCAGAGCGTCGTCACTAATATCTGTTATCACTTTTTGAACTGTGGAACATTTCAGCAGAAAATTGGTACCGAACTTTGAAATCAAACAATTTGGATTGCTCTCTTCATGATACGATGTGAACTGACAACACAAACAAAGCACACATTTTGTTCAACACATCACCGGCATACGACAGCAGATCAACATCATAGAGAATCGATTTCTGAAGAAACGACATACAACTTCTGCACCAGTGCAGTTCAATTTTCCAACCATTTTCAGTGTATGTATAATGCCACACTAATAAAGCTCAAGAAACAGTTTTCTTCTTTCCATCAAGTCCAGCGCAAATATACAGCAACTTTTCAGAATAACATACTGTTTTATTCTAAATCGTAAGGCACACAACTACCATCTAAGCAATCAAATAGAAGGTAAACACTGTTACGGACTTTTTCCTCACATATACCATCATCTTTTCTTTCTCTTGTTTTCTTCTCTTCTTTCTTCCTCACCTTTCTTCGTTTTCATGTTTGCACTGATTTCACCTCTAAGTCTTTTTTTCTTTCATCTAGTCGTCCGCCACTATATACATATATACCTGTTTCGCTAGATAGTGAAGCATATATAAATATATGTGTGTGCGTACATTTTTCGTTTTTGGTTAGATATAGAAAATAAAAGAAGTAGGGTAAATCATCTAGACCCTAATAGACACCGTTACTGAAATCGCCACAGTTGAATTCTGCTAGAACTATTGCAACTACTTTTATTACTGTAAAGCTCATGGTCTAGAGCAAAATCTAATCAATAAACTAAACCATACGCTTCTCCATCAATTGAATTACCACTACTCTATCAGTGATGAAATCGAACGTAGGACACTGCTACAAATGCCAAGCCGCAACTTCTCTGGAATTCCCTAAGCCAGCTTTTCACTTCTAAACTCATTGCGATAGAGAAAGCCTCTGGAATATCAAAGAGCATACAACTCTGCTTCTCTTCACATACAACTCTTCTGTGGGTCATGAGATTGAACCTCACATCCCTTCGACAACCTAAAACAATCTCACAATAGTAAAAGAACAAAACTCACCTTTTTACGCTATGGAACTCATTACCAAGACAGAAACACTAGTGTATTTCATAGAGACTTAAATTACGGATTGAATGATGTATAACTTCTCTCTCGGCTATGAGTTTAAGAGTGAGCACAGTTTCAAAAATAAACAATGGTACAAGAGTCGAACGGAAAAAATTAATTTTTTTCTTAACTAAACTCATGGCCGAGAGAGAACACCCACTGGGTTTGCTAGAGCATTGAATTGCGAATCGATTGACATATAACTTCGCTCTCGGCTATGAATTCAAGAGTGAGCACAGCCCCAAAAAGAAAATGACTCCTTAGTAAAATGAAAAAAATGAATTTTTTTCTTTACCAAACTCATGGGCGAGAGAAAAGATATGATGCATATTATAGAACTTTCAATTCTCAATCAAACGATATGCTACTTTTCTCTCGGCTATGAGGTGGACACTTCAAAGTATCCTCAACATATTACACACAGTAGTCAGCATAGCATATGGAGTAGTTTTTTGATTATGGAACGCTTCGCTCAGAGATAGGTTCTTCCGTATGTCGTAGAACATTGTACGCTGAGTCGAATGAGAGATAGATTCTCTCTGGGCGATGGTGGTCCCAGGAAAACACACTATAAAGTATATGTCATTGGAGTAGATCTGAAAGATCGGACGGCAGTTTTTTTTCCTGGAGCTTTTTACCGAGAGAGATGAGTTGATGTATGTGATACAGCATTGAAATCTGCATCTGTTGACATAGCCCTTCTCTCTTGGCGAAGTCTACTGGCGAGAAATTTACTGTAGTATGTGTCGCATTGAATTTTAGGTAAAGCATCGGATAGGTTGTTCTGCAGTTCTACTGAATGCTGAGAGAGAAGAGTTAGTGCAACATGACAGAGGATTAGGTATTGCGTCAAATGATAGATCATTCCAGTCTTGACCAAGGGTTGCAGACTGGGTTGCATCCTGAATATGTAATATATGTGAGGTAACACAAACTATCGGAGAAGTCTCTTTTCTTCATGAGACTCATTGCCGAGAGAACGGGACAGTTGCATCTAATAGAATGTTCGATGTTGAATGAAACGGTAAATCACTCGTGTCTGGACGATGAGATGAAGACTAAAAAAAAGTGACATTCGACGAAGAAAGAGGTGGAATGATGATAGGATTTTTTCTTGGTGATTTGTATGATGTTTAGGTATATGTGGTTGAGTTTTTGGTATACAGTTCGAATCCGGAACGGTTGGTAAGCTAGTAGGGTGTTTGTTGGATATTTTTTTAACGAGGATTTCGTGGTAACTAAGGATTATATGTCGGTATTTTCTGGACTGTTGTAGGGATTTTGTGTTTTTTCTGTGATTGGTTCATTGAATGAAGAATATGATTGGTCATCGTGGTAGCTTCACATCGATTTAACAGATTTATCACATAAAATTTCAACATTACTAGCATGGTGTTCGAAAAATTTTAGTGGTTTTTTACAAGCTCTTTTAAAATATTTTAATCAAACTCTTGTCTTATAATAACTTTTTCAAACTTCCAACAAAACAATGGCTGATTCGATATAATAATCTACTTATTTGTATATAATCTTTTATTTGTGCTTTTTTATATCGTTTTAATAAATGAAAAGAAACATCTAACGAGTTTCTTCACTATACAACAGTATTGATTCTATCTCTAACTGTTGATTAATTTCAAATGTAAAACAATAACGATCAAAAAATCTTGTTAATGATGATTGTATGAAAATTTTTGCTGACTTATTATCTGTCATAGAATAAAAATAACAGATATCGAAGTATGTCAATGCTCTTTTATAATCACCAAGATGAAATTCAATTTCACCGAATATTGTGTTTTGATATGCTAATCATTTTTGATTATCATTTATTTCATAAAAAAGATTACTAAAATATTTCTTTGCTTGCTGATATTGACCAACTTCAATTAACATTCTACCAAGTAGAAATTAGTTAATTCAACATACTATGTGTCTTTTTCATAGCGTTTGATAGAGTCTAATTTGTACATAACTCCAATATCAAATAGAATTACTTCTTTTTCGGAGAAATTACTGTATTGAGATATGTCAGCAAACATATTTTTGGCAATATCAGATATATCAATATCAATTTGAACAATGGTTCATAATTTACTTTCATAAAAATGAGCATGCATCTTGGTAACTTAAAAATGTTTTGAGGCTGATAGAGATAGAATTTCAATGGTATTTGATTATCTTTAATGAAAATAAATGCAGAT